GGATTCGGGCGTACCGGTGACCGTAAGAAGAAGCCAGTGATGGCACCAAGCAGAGGAAGTTTCTTTAGTAATGGTCCAAGCAGCAGACGCAGACGACCAGTCAACTGGAGGAAGTGTAGGCAATATAGGAAGAAAAGTTGAGTGAAAATGCTTCGAAACACATGTCCTAAAATCCTACCCCAGGTAAGTAGTATACGTACTTCAAACTCAAAAGTATTTTGATTATGACTTCACGCTACCAACTTGTACACCGAGCAGTACCGCTGTTAGCATGGTATAGTATGAAGATACGACAGGAGGTGAATGAGACCTGCAGTTCGATAACTCTTTTCTCTCTTGCCACACACTTTCACCCTCACAACCGCACCACATACGCACGCATAGTCATGCTACATCGGTCACATGCAACATATAAGCATACGCACACGCACACGGCCACACTGAGCCTCCTCCGCGGGGACTGCAGTGACAATCCTGCGATGCAAGTGTAATCTCATTTCACCAATCAAGGGAAAACATGCAATCATGTGACACTGCATATCCCTCAACTCCGTAGAGCACCGATGAAATAAATAGAACTATCAATGCAAAGAATGCAGTCACCAGCCGCCCCATATCATTAGCAGTGCCTCCACAAGGGCAGTAGGCAAGTCCAGAAAAAGACAAATGTTACATTTACTACAGTATTGATAGGGTGGGCAGGCATGGGCACAACACTTGCAAAGCAAGAAGAAAATGAATGCTGCAGCCAGTACGCATACTCCCCACACCTCAACATTTGCGAGCTGCAAATACTAGGTCATGGAAAATGTCGAGAAAGTATTCACATATCTCATTTCTTTCCTATGTCAGCCAGTGAGAAACGACGTGCGCCCACTCAGACACAGTCATAGAAACCATGTACTGTGTGTGTATGACTTTTATACTCACTCACCTTCACATTTTGAACTCCCACGGATACGCCAGAGATGAGAGCCGAAACGTGTAAGTCGCCGTCATAGCTGTGGCAAGGAGAACAGGGCACATGGTGATTCAGCTGAGTGTACAAGTCGGCTATGCCATGACATACAGAACATGGCTGTAAAGCGAGTTCATTGCGTCCATGTGATCATGTGATCATAGTGAACTAAATGCCCACTATGACAATCTGTATGTATGTTATCAGTGTGTGTTTAAGTGTAAAATAAGCTATGATGTGCTGCCCAGTAAACACAGAGTATGACCTTGAATGAAACCAGATTAGCAGAAGCTCACTGACATACAAAAGAAATGAAGAAAAAAAATGAAGCTATTGCGCAAGCCAGGGCAGCAGGATTGACCTACACCACAGATATCCCATTAATCATCACTCACTCCTAGCAAACACACACTTATTGGTCTCTTCGCTGCGAATGAACTCCTCTTCTTCACACACCAACTACTCGTGCCTGGCCCGCCACTAAAATGCTCAAAATCGCCCCTTGTGCTAAGACTCTGAGTGTTAAAAGCGTAAATTGTCCAGCGCTCCATGCATGTAATGCATATAATGCATGTAATGCATGTACGGTGTCATGAGACTACTTTTCATGTACTGGAGTGCATTATTGCACTACTGCGAAGCTTCTACATTTTGTCGATACTGGGTGAAGGACAAACTAGAAACAGTTGCTAGAACTTCAATCATGCTTCTCAACTTGTATTTCAGTTCCGAACCAGCGGCATTGTCTTTTCAACTGATTGGTACTGGTACCTAATAAACTGATTTGATCTGATATCAAGAGTATAATAACCCCCCAAGAGTGTTCAGCTCCTGATACCCTTTCTATGGGGTTCGCCGACGGTGAAAACGCACATCACGTGATGCAGTGTCGCAGTTGTACGTTTCCAGCCCATTTTTAACGAGCAGCGGAGTAATAAAAAAAGCACTCTCTGACAGAAACTCACTGCGGGTGTGCAAATTCCCAGCATGACCATGGCAGATATTCGGATTGCGCGCACGCTATCCTTCGTTTGTATGTAGTACGAACATACCTGAGACACGTGATGTGAGTTTTCGCCGTCGGACACCCCATATGCAGACTTGCACACTCTTGGGGGGGGGGGGGGGGTATATACTCTTGCTGATATGTTGGAGCGGACAGCTAGTTTCGGATGGCCCAACAATTCACAGTCTGGTGTGCGACTAAAACTTTTAATGTCACAAGATCATCAGTAGCGCAAGCCCGGGAGCGGCCTGCAACTCTCTGCAAATGCGGTATCTACCATGCCAGAACAAAACTTGATATTACGTTAATGTACATGACATAATTGTTTTCTCCGCAACTCAAGCCTACTTGATGTCGGTATCCACGACTATCAGACGACTGGCATCACGTTTCGGATAAACAGTGACTCCTTCCAGACGGAACGACTAAGGAGAGAGAGACCAGTGCACAGACACAGCGGGTGCAAGCTTAGTACACCTGTACAAGTTGGTGGTGATAGCCACGAGAGTCACAGTGGAAGAGCAGGTGTAGGGCACACTACTAGCTTTGACAATATCAACCAGGGGAGAGCATGGCCCTGTCGTGAACTGTGTGGGACTGGCGGTCAGTGGGCATTGCACAATCCTCAGTACACTCAGTCAGTGTGCGAAGTGATCCAATCGGCTTGATTGGTGGTGCAACCATACTGGTACGTGACGGTGTTAGCTACTGTAACACCGGAAAGTCTAACGACCAAAAAGTTTAACGTTTTTGTAATTTTGGCATGATAGCGTGCAGAAGGTTTAACGAAGGCTGCCTGGCCACCCATCTGTATGAGCATCTTTGCACAGACATCTAACTAGCGATAGCGGATTTTTCAAATAACGAAAAATAATTGGACGTTAAAACGTTAGACTTTGTGACTCGTTAGACTTTCCGGTTTTACAGAATTCTTCAAGCTGCTACATTGTTCTATTCTTTGCAGTACACTACAATACATACAGTACACACAGCATCCAGATTCCAGAAAGCATGGCCTGAGCATATCTAGTCTTGGACAGATGCAAGGTAATGGCCAGTTTGAGAGCTGCACTTGGCTATAACCCGCTATTACCCGTTGTGTTTTGTTGGTGATCTACAACACTACACACTCACCTCTTGCCCAAAGTCAAACTTGTCAATGGTGAGGCTAACAGACGAGCCCAGCTTGTCGCCAATCTCCGGGAGCAACGTGTTCTCCAGCCAATCCTGTGCTGCACCATTGATATATGGCCATAGCTGCTCCACAATCTGTGAAGCCGGAGAATAAGTAGAGTAATACTTGTCCAGAAGCAGACAGAAAAGACAGGATCCTGCTAGTTGGCAGACTGATGCGCAGGCCAGTTATAAGGTCTAGGATCATGGTGACCCCCTCTCCCCCCCCCCCCCCCCCCATACATGTAACACATGTTGTTGGTTTGACAGCATGTAACAAGGTGGAGGACATCGTGTTCGGAAACAGTGACCCGTTTCTACAACCATCCACGGTTGGTAGAGCCCGGTCTGTTGAGACCATCTGAACCGTTACATGCTGTCAAACCAACAACATGTGTGAACTAAAACAAGGTTTATCTACAAGTAATCCCATGCATACACATGTACAGACGCAGGCACAGGCACACACGTGCATGCAGATTAAAACAAAGAGCTGCCACCAGAGAAGTGACCCGGACACCTTCCCTTTCTTTTTACGCATGCAATACCGTAAGGTGTGACTGTGAGAGAGTTTGTATGTGACCATCTGACCCTCTATCGTGCAGCATACATCAATCCCTGACACCATGATATAGTGCAATGCACATTCATAGCATTCCTTACCGCATTGATCCATTCCACTGAATGCTGGGCATCCACAGGTTGCTATGGCAGAGAAAGAGCACAACATCGCTGATGCTGGGATACGCTAGGACACGGCTGGCTATACCTAAACTACTGAGCAGCTGTTATCTGAACGCTTTGCGGGATGATTGCGAAAGCACGAAACTGTTTAAAAGTAGCAACAAACAAACAAGCCTTGATTTCCCTCAGTAGCCGGCTAGCTTGTTGTTCTGTATTACGCTCTGCCCGCTCCACGGTGTTGAGCACTGACTGTTAGCACACTGGGTGCATCCTCCGCTGAACGTGGCTCTCCCAATATTGGACATTGTACTAATTACCACCACTGCGCAAGTTTTGTCTTTTTCTACAAAAGCGACATATCACCCGCATATAGCACTCGCTGGGAGTGAGTAAGGGATGGTGGTGAGGAGGCCCTTCTACAGTCGTCGCCAAAAAAATCCGGCCAAATGCAATGCTAGCTACCGGTAGCTGTACTGGGCCGCATGGACTGTATCATACTTCATAGTGGTAGTGGTACTGGTAGACCGGGTCTGCATGTAGTCTGCAGTTATTATTATTTCACTGTTCACATGGTTCAGCCCCGCATACACCATGTTACATGTAGAGGCGACGGTTCGATACGTGCAGTGGATACCGGAACGGCTTGACAGGTCAGCCAAATTTGTATAGGCCCAAACAAACCTATCATCAGCGTTGATTGTTCACTCGAAATATGTTTGTGGAAGGAAACTGGCATGTTGAAGTTTGATCTGAGGCCAGAGTCAATCGAACTGAGCCACTCCTTTGTGTTGACCCATTGCCTCCAAGTTGCCCAATTTTTCGCTTCAAATCAGAGGTGGCTCCAAATCGGAAAGGTTTTAGAGTGCACGTCAAATTCACTCTTACTAGTCTTAGTCTGAAATTAGGTAATTGCTATCGCTCCACGACGGCCAGTACAGAGTAACAATAAGCCTTGTGTGTGCTTCTCCATTAGTTTCGATTGGTATGCGGTGCTTTATTGGCGAGAGGCGAGCCGCTGTTTACCTGCGACAAGAAGTTGATTTTTCGAAAGTCGTAAAACTCAACACGTCAAAAACTCACCTGCTTGGTGTGGCGCTTCTGGTCATCGCAGAGCCATGAAATGTTGGCTTGGAGTATAAGTTATAACACATCGTAGCCTCACTGTGACATATGTTTTCTAATCAAAACACTATGAGAGAAAGTGAATATGGAGTCCGTTCCGGTTTGCAACCTACCGGTATTTTGAAACCGTCGCCTTCTACACTCACTAAGGCTCGGCGCAGTGCTCAACCCGACTGCAGCATGCAGAGTGCGGCGCAGACTATTCAGTGCTGTCCAGTGGCAGTGGCCTAGTTGAGGCTAGACTATACTAGAGTCTAGTGCATGTGCCACTCCATGATCCAGTGCATGAACCCTCGATGAAGTACCGCGTGCGTAGATCTACCTACCATACCTATGTACGCGTATACTTGGCATTGGCCGGATTTTTTTGGCGACGACTGTAGCTCTGCCGGCATGTGCCCTTGCCAATACAGTATACATGTAGGACACGCCAAGGACAAACTCAGCACTGAGAAAAAGATTCTGTGAAACTCGTTAGCTACATGAATTGCCATACTTCTAAGTAATAGTTTGGTTCACAACGAACGTTTTGACAGCATTCCATAATTGCACATCACCAACGCCACCACGTAATTGCACCGCTCTTGGCCGACCGATATAGCTATGGCTGTGATATGATCGCTGTGTGCACACTGAGAGTCGTGCTGTTGGTCGGCCAAGAGCCAGGGGCGTAGCACCCGCTACGACTGGAACGACCATGGCCGTACCACTTTTCGAAAAGTGTGGTCCGTCCGAAACGTGCAAAACCGTAATAAAAAAATCAGGATCCATCGATGCATATGCGCATCAGACTTTGACGTTTTTCTAGACTCGTACTCGTAGATCTGCCATGCATCTGTGCATGTCCATGCACGTCTCTTCTGCCCGTGAAATAATTCTATGACTTATAAACTGTGCCAGAAGTGTGCCAGAAGTTCCCAGAACACAGGATTTTGTGTCTTTTTTACAAAATTTTCCTGGGGGACGTCCCCCGGACCCCCCTCCAAAACGGCCTTCGGCCGCGCCGACCTTTGGTCGTACCACTTCCAAAACCCCTCCTACGCCACTGAGAGCGTACAGACAATGGGCGGATGATCACGTAATGTTCTACTAGATGATCTTGCGCACACTCATGTTCCAGACCACTAAGGTGAAAGAGGTGGGTGAATACTGTCACCAAGCGCTCAACACCGCCAACAGTCTCAACTATTTACATGACTGTACGAGCGTACTTACATGAGCCATGGTTTCCTGGTTTGATCGACGCTGGAATCGGCAAGGAACCGCAAACCGTTCGTCAAAGACTGACAGCAAAAAATGCAATCAGCGTACACATTTTTACCAGCTACATGAGCGACTCCCGCGGGCGACCGCGCTGCGACGAAAAGCAACCATCAGCTTGGAAGCCAACTAGCTTCTTCGTGTCCGAATGAGACGTTATCATGGGATGTCCGCTGCATTGCGACTGCGTCTGCATCAGGATCCTGCATGCCAGTCACAAACCATTTCTACAGTAACTAACTTAGTAACTAATACTTACTCGCTCTTGGATGAGCCATACATATCACCTGGCCTGAGGCTGTACTGGGGCATGCATAAAACCAGCAGCTACTGCACCAACATTACGTACACCATGGTATACCTGGTATACGGGCAGACTGGAATCAGGGTCATTCTTCAACGTCGATCGTTAGCCAGGGCTAGTACTAGTAGCCTACTAGGCCTATAGGGGTCCTTCACCGAGACTAAAAAGTAGAAACTTCAGTGAAAAGCGAAACCTATGAGGCTATGTCATGAGTGTGACAAAATACACTCTCACACTTCTCTTTTCCAATTCTGAAGAGAAAACTTTCGAACGAACGCACTGTCTCTGTAATCATGGTAATGCCGGCCTGGTCCACACTACATCTACATTGTAGTACACCGCATGCTGAGCCACTACGCCTATTTTTTCTGCAAAAATATTTTGGCCTGGGTACCATGGCCTGGGTGACCAGTGCAGTGGGGTTCCTCCGATAAATTTTAATTTTGTATGACTGTATAGATCTACCGGTAGCAAAACAACTCTAAACTACTTGTACATCTGCTTCAAGCCTTGGTTACAAGCACTATCAAAGAGGGGGCTTTATTTTTTCAATAGAGCAAATTTTGCTCTCGGAAACAGGGGCACTACATGTACCAGGTATGCAAGACAGGGTTCAGCTCTAATCGCGCGAGTACGGTAGCTGTGGAACGACAAGGCTTGACTCGAGATCGATGTTCGCCATATTCAAAAAAGGTTATCATGAAAAAGTCATTTTAGACCCAAATATGTCTGAACTAACCGTTACTTGACTCAAGGGAGTCAAGCAGGCAGACCACTACACAGGCTAGAGCATTATGCACACGACAGTTCAACAAAGCATGGTTCGTGGTGACTTGCATTGGATTGAAGTAGCGGATAGTACGCAAGACACTCACGTGGCAAAGCAGATTCTGGTAATGCACAGAGAACACCCATTTTTGCTAAAGCAATATTCACCTAACATTATACTCTGCATCAATGCGGGGGACACTACAACATCGGCGCTGCATGTTCCTCTCTGGGGATATTCCTAGCGGTAAACAAAACTATTACAAAAAAATCAAGACATTCTGGAACTAACTTTTAAAGAAAACATGTGCTAAGAACAAACTAGTACTACTGTAGTAGAAGAGGTGAAAACAAGTTCACAACAGCCAGTACGACAAAACCAATGAGTCCAAAATCTTGGGAAAGTTGCGGTAAGCTAGGGACAGAAGGAATAGCAAAGGAAATTTCTAATTTCTGATTCCAATTGCCATGTTGTTGTTTTGCAGACGACGACGACGAAGCAAATACGCCTGAAAGAAACCTCACAGGTAAGCGGAGGATTAAAATAGAACCGCTATTGACAACATGTACATGCACAGTGTGAACTGGACTCAGCAGAATATCTTCAGAATGCAGCAGGCAGCAGGGCTAGGGGTGGGGGGGAAAGTACAAATGCGGCAAGACAAAATGAAAGGAAATGGGGAAAAAGGAGAATGATAAAAATCAGATGGTAACAGAAAGGAAGCTGCTGCTTTCCATGAGTTCTGTCCAAAACACAGAGACATCATGCATACAAGGTATTCCAACCCTCTTTACTCAACAGCAAGCATGCCTAGAACTGGCTTACATAGCAACGGGAGATACAAGGCGCGATGAAAGAAGTGACAGATATAGAAATAAAGCAGCCTGCGGCTAGCATACACTGTACAGTGGGTTTGCTTTGTGTATCATACATATTCCGGCTGGACTTCGCCAGTCATAAGTCTATACAGGTGCAGAGACATCGTCTTTAGCCGCATCTGCAATACACAACGCCGGAAAAATATGCAGCACACGAGCCATTGGGAAATCATTCAGGATAATGGCAATCACTTGAGCAGGACATTCTGGTAGTACATGGAAAGTTCGACTTCAACCTTTCTGACTGCTTTGGTACAACTATATCAACCGGTGGTTGCGTGGTTAGAGCTCATGCGTTCAAAGTCCTGAAGCAATGATGGTTGGGGATGTTTTCCCAACTGATCCTGAAAAACGTATGGGATCACTAGCTATGTGATTCTGAATGCGAGATACTTCCCGCCAAAAATGAAAGTCGTATCGTTTCCAGTCATATGAGAAATTTGGAAAAAACTGCCCGAGCAAAGTCCCAAAGAAACTTTTCAAATATCTCAATCCAAATTTGAATTCTTTGAAAATCTATGGCCATATTCGATTGGTAGGATCCGGATCCCAAGTGATTACGTGGATCATTCGGATCCCTCCAGATTCAATCAAACCATGGCTGGCAGGGTTGGTTGTCGTCATGAAAACGAATAAAAATGGCGCTTGAAAGTTGTCTTGGATTGTCAAGATACCGATCAATTTTAGAAAAGGAAGAAAACTTGATGCATTGAAGGCGTGAGGAAAACCGTTCCTGCGGGTTCGGTCCCGCCAAATGTAGAGTTTCCGTGCCCAAAAAGGTCGAGTGGCGATATGATCCGTTAGATCCGGTCAACCCTGCTCCTTGAGGTGGGTTGGCAGGATCCGCATCCGGATCCGACCAACTGAGGGTCCGAATCCAATGGACCCGGATAATCTGGATGCGGATCCTACCAGTCACAAATGCCCTAGACGTCTGTCCTTTTGAAAAGCACTGTAAGTCAAGCACGAGTCATACCACCACATTTCAAATAATGCATTCTGCCTATCAGAGTTCAACTCAACAGAGTCGGGAGAACCGCAGGGGCATGCCTGCACACTTAGTCAGCAGTAGAGAAATACAAGCAAGAGGACAGTCCCTAAGGGACTTTCCCTTGCTCAAGACAGCAAAGAAAAAAGGGCAGCGGACTTACGTGGCCGGTACTAGTTGAGAGCATGTCTAGTAGCTGCTCTGACTTCATATTCACTGTACTATGGCCGTTGATCTCAATGATGTGGTGACCAACACGGATGCCACCCCGCTCACCGATGCTGCCACGCAATAAACTCGTCACCTAGAAAACAGTGCACAACAGAACACGAACAGATAGCTTGAATCTATGACTATCCACAAAATTCAGAGATGAGCCAGGAAGCAAACACACCATACATGCCAGCATTCGCCATGCTGTGAACTGCCGCATGCCTTCCCCCAGTCACATGCATACAAAAAAGCACACCATTTGACCATTTCACGTCCTGATAGCGTTGCCACAGCAGAAGCCATAGCACCTTGTGCTGGGATTGCACCATTCAACAGCTTGCAAGGCTGAAGAATTGACCGCCACTCTTCAGCCTGGTCTACACCACACAGCTATGAAGTGGCCAGTGAATCCCAACTTTTTGGTCTTTTTAATTTTTTTCGGCACACACAACACACCACATACTCCGGCATGCACTGGCTATCGAATACACACACACACACACACACACACACACACACACACACACACACACACACACGCATACACACGTGCGCGCGCATGCACGCACACACGGGAACCTACCGTGCCATCAAGTACGCTGAAACCAAGTGGAAACTTAAGGTCCGGTCGTACAATGTTCACATCTACTACAGGAGGAGTGTGGACCAGTTTGATCTTCACCATTGTCAAGTATCTCAGACTCTGTAAAGAACATGTATCCAAAACACCACCAAACAATCAGGTATTGCCGCACTATGCGTGTGGGCAAGTCAGATTTTTCTTGACGCTGTCAACATAGCTCGAGTTGTAAAGTTGTGAAGGAGTATTAAAGGGGAAGTTAAGGCTAAAATCAAAATTTCACCAGTTGTAGTCTTCGGGGTGCTGAGTCGAATGGTCTTGGTCCGAAAAAGCTGAGACGCTCCCTTCCTACTTGAATCCCAATCGAACTCGCGCACTTCCACCGACACTGGGTGACTGCGCCCTACGATATGGGGATTTGTATGCAAAATCTCACTAAAAGCGCCATTTCGCTCTTATAAAAGCACGGATGACCGCGATTGGCCCATATGTTGTAGTCTTTTGGACGCTGAGTCGACTGGTTTTGGTCCGAAAAGGCTGCGATGCAGCGTTCCTCCTTTATTCCCAATCGAACATGGTTGAAGAAGTGGTCACGTGCTCCTGGGTGCCAAAATCACCTGGTCACCACGCCAGCAGGCGACAACTTTCACACCAAGGTTCAACTCGAGTGACAGGACTGCACCCAAAAAAGGTCAAAAACAGGCTGTAAGTTGTACCCTGCAGGCACGGTGACCAGATGACTGGTGTACGCAGGAGCACGTGACCGCTTGTTCAACCATGTTCGATTGGGAATAAAGGCGGAACGCTGCATCGCAGCCTTTTCGGACCAAAACCAGTCGACTCAGCGTCCAAAAGACTACAACATATGGGCCAATCGCGGTCATCCGTGCTTTTATAAGAACGAAATGGCGCTTTTAGTGACATTTTGCATACAAATCCCCATATCGTAGGGCGCAGTCACCCAGTTTCGGTGGAAGTGCGCGAGTTCGATTGGGATTCAAGTAGGAAGGGAGCGTCTCAGCTTTCTCGGACCAAGACCATTCGACTCAGCACCCCGAAGACTACAACTGGTGAAATTTTAATTTTTGCCTTAACTTCCCCTTTAAAAGCGATTCCAAAGCATGCACATGTCAAAGCTTTGGGTGACACAAGGATTTGGTCACAGGCAGCACGAAAAGAAATGTTGGTGCAGTGTACACTGTATGTGGCAGAAGGTCAGCAGCAGCATATTTTCAAGAGTGGCTTTTCATTTCAAACTTACCTTTAGCCAGTCGATACATTCCGACATAGGTATTCCGACGAGACTCTTTCCAGCCACTGCCAATACCTGGTCACCAACATTTACACGATTACACTTGGTCGCTGCTCCACCCTTCATCAAGTGTGAGACGGTAACTGTGGGAATCATACTGCCCCAGCCTGACTCCATGATGCTGATACCGAGGGGCTCGCCTTTCTTCTTCACCAGTTGGAACTGAGAAAGATGAAACATAGGAATTGAATGACACATGCTAGTATAAAAGTACTAACGATGTTTTGTTCTGTTTTAAAAGCATCATTTTCAAGGGACAAAAACCTAAAATTTCTCTAGTTCAATTCAAGAGTGCAAATACGAGTGATGACAAGGAGTAATGATTTGTGCCGCCTTCTTGTGCGCATGATTTTGCAGGCACTACCGAGATTGGGTACGCCTATATGGAGATTGACAACTCCTGAATGGGCTAAAAATGCCTGGCAGACAACCTGCAAAGGCAGAAACGATAAAATTTAGTTGAGGGTTGGGGGGGGGGGGGTCAAACGCACTTAGAAAAGGATAGTGCAAGAAGGGTCTTTTCGTTTCGATTCGCTGATCAAAAAGGAGAACACTTCGGCCTAACTTGTCAAGAGCACACAATATCAGCAACACTGGAAACCCATAATATCAGCAACACTGGAAACACGATAAACTCATGTCTTGCCTTTCATAACAATCTGGAAAGTAGTGCAGAATAACTAACAGCATGCCCTTTTAAAAGTTAAACTTTTTAGCATCACTCGGGTCAGTACCGGTCGACGTACCTCATCTTCGCCACCCTTGCCAATAAATGGAGCAAGTTCGTCATGCGGCATTTTCTGCACGCTAAGAATGTCAGCATAGTCTGACACAGTCAGCGATCCTTCCTCAATGCCGTTCTCGGCTAGGAACTGCCGATACGCATAGTTGAAGGCAAAGCCAATTGTTTCCGATATGTGATGGGCCTGTAGGGCAAATGATGTGAACACACACAGACACACAGACACACACACCTCAGACCTCAGACATGCCCATCGCGGAAGCGATGATAGCGAACAGCTATGTTAGACATAGCAACTTGTGCTGGGATTACACCATTCAACAGCTTGCAAGGCTGATGAATTGCCCGCCCCTATTTTTAGCCTGGTATCCACCACACAGCTGTTTGAAGTGACTTTTTCTGGCCAGTGAATCCCTATTTTTCATTTTTCCATTTTTTCTACACACACACCACACCACATACACCGGCATACACTGGCTGTTGGTAACCACCCAGGAGAATGAAAGAAAAGTCAGGAAGAGTCCGAGAAAGAGAAGAAAGACGTGTGCGACCATAATCGTCGGGAATTGAACCCGCAACCTCTCGATTGGAAATCGACTGCACATACCACTGCACCACACACACACACACACACACACACACAGACACACACACACATACAGACACAGACACAGACATACACAAATCCTAATCTACTTGATGCGGATAACAATCAAACAAAACTGCAATACACAGGCAATATCACCGTACACAATCTTTGAAAGAGAAACAATGTTACAGTCCATTTCAAAACTATAGACGCGTAGTGTTTTGCAAAATTCGATGGGATTTATTTAGATATTTTTAGTTTTTTCTCCAGATTCCGTCTCTGCATCGCTTCACAATTCTGGCTATATACTTCGTTTTCGCTACAATTGAAGTTTATTTTTAGGCCAGGCTTTCCGGTTTTACATGTGCTTGGAAGCTGAGGCCCGACATCGCGAAGACCGAAGCAATGTTCATCAGCCCATCGCCGCCTACTCAGCCGTTGCACTTTCCAGGAGCCAATGCTAACGTTAAAATTGTTCATGAACACAAACACCTTGGTGTTATATTCGACAGCCATATGTCCTGGTCCCCACAGGTCCAGTCAGTATGCAAGCGAGCTAGCTCCTCCCTTGGCATGTTGCAACCTCACTGCCACCATTTAAATGACCATTGCCGAAAATTGTTCTTTACGTCGTATATTCTACCTATATTTGATTACTGTGACACAGCGTGGTGCGGTCTGTCTCAGGCCCTTGTTCAAACTCTGGAAATACACCAGCGTCTGCTTCTAAAAATCCTGTTTCGCAAAAATCAAACATTCTCCTCCCAACGTCTCTACAGTTTAGCTTCAGTATCTCCCCTCTTAGAGCGACACCAGCAACATCTTTGCATCCTTGTACACATGATCTTATTAGACCTGGCTCCAAAACACTTTGCTAAGTATAACTGGTTTGTGTCCACCAGATCAACACGTCATTCCTTCTCATTACCCCGTGCCAATACCTCCCTGTTTCTGAAATCTCCTATCTTCTCTGCGTACACTCTCTGGTCTTCCCTGCCAACTAGCCTTAAAGCATGCACAGACATTAAGGAGTTCAAGCTTCAGCTTCTTTGTCCTAAATAATCTCACCATTTTCGTCATGCCTCCCCTTGCAGTACTCTCTTTGTTTCTCTCCTTATTATTCAGTTCGCCGTGGTTGGCTACCACCCGACTTCTCATATATATTGGCAGTCTTCTGACGAACCAGGAGATGTTGAATTAATAATAATAATAATAATAATGTAATTTCTGTTTAGAAGGGTTTGACCAGTTTGTTTCGGATTTTTGCTCCTGCTCAGACAGTGCTGCGCCCAGACCATCGCGGGTGCATTTTTGTACGGGTCCTGGTAGCCTCGTGGTTTCGATCCGTGATTTTCAGTACAAGTGTGGGGCATTCGAATCCCATCACGCCTCCTGCCTTTTTTTCTCTTCTGTTCTGCATGTTTTGGATCTTGTTGAGTGAAATACAGTGGAGATGATTTATATTTTCTCTTTTTGATTTGATTTGAGCCTCCCTGTTCCCTTCGCCTGACACAACGAGTGACAGTGGTTTCACTCACGCCAGTTGCAAGGTGAGTTCGACGACGAGGATTTCGGATACTCAAGCGTCAATCAAAATCCAGCTCTTGTTCGAAGAAACAGTGAACACGACTAATCATATCTTTCTCGGCATCACTGAGATTCTTACGGGCCTTGGAAGCCATTACAGTCAGGCACTCAGAAAATGCAAACAAGAAGAAGATTCATTTGAGACTTTCATTTCTTTTGAGGCTCTTCCTCACACCTTTTCATTTGCGACTTTGCGTGTTTTGCATCTTTTGTATTTCCCGCGGCGACGAAGAAAAACCTGAAAAACACATCTGAAAACCAGAAAATACTCATGCAAAACTCACGGCTGTCGTGCGCTACAGTACATACGGCTCGTACGTATGAGTTCACGCGTCTATAGTTTTGAAATGGACTGTAGTGACCAACCACACAGACTGAAAACTACAAATTAACCTGATAAGGAGCAACATTTTCTGAGAATGTCTCAAAGCATTGTAGTACACATGCTGACATTGTAGTACACATCCCCTATCCTCAGAGGCCAAATATGAACAAGACGCAGAAGATCACCAGCACGACCATGGCACTGGTAACGCTATCCAAACTTACGTCCGCTGCCTCCAGGACATGACAGAGAAGCTTGGACTTGCGGTCTGGTCCAGTCTCTCCGTCCTGCTGCGGAAGTCGCCGCCTAGCCATCACCACAACTAGATTGCCGATATCAGCTACATAGGATATACTACGCAGCGGATGATCCATGAGCGTAATCTGCAGCATATCACACGGAACACATCAATAAGTAAGTCAGTATGAGATACAAATGCGTGCATAACCATACAAGAATGTACCGTCATGACAGGCACACACGTTGAATTTCCTTCATATCACGCGGATCTCTCAATGGTTGGGTAGCTAACTTAGAAAGAAGGATATGAAGGGTAGCTCCAATTTCATCCTGAAATATCGCAAAAGGAAATTATTCCATTACAGTGGTCTGTGCTTTGACCTTTCCGCATAGTGCAGTGACACCTGTACAGTCTACTTGAGTTCAGACAAGGCCAACTAACGCCTGCTGCGGAGCCAGCACTGCTCACCGCATGTCTTGACGACTCCTCACCAAAAGCCCTGACAGGTTAATGGCTACACAAAGGCCTTCTTCACAAAGGAAGACAAGCTGGAGTCCACCATACGAGTACATGTACATGCTAACACTTACATTATCAGCACGATGAATGATCTGGACTGATTCCGTCGACACGAAAAAGGTGACGGGTATAAGCGGCTGCGAGTCTCCCTCGGGTTGCTGCAAGAACAAAGGGCAACATGGAACTTTGAACAAGTGCAACCAGGTCAACAACATATCTAAATACATCATAGTTCAGGTTAGGGGCCGTCCGTAATTATCGATCTTTTTCACAAAGAGAAAAAGTTCGTTTATGGGTGGGTTGAGGAGAGTTTCGTTTTGAAAATTATTGATAGCTGAAACATCAAGCCATTGTAGCTGTTAACCCGACTGCTGCATGGACGATAAGTGCTGCGAATAGTGATCATGCGCCCTGGCCTGAGTAGCTCGCTTGGCTAATTGAAAGTCTGCCGACCTGGGCCACATTATGTTGCTAAGGCATGCACAACCCCAGTCACAGCGCGCAAGTTGGTTGAGTTTGGCCGTCAGGAGGCCAGCGCAAGGTATCCGGGGCGCGGGTCTGATTCCAGCGAGGGGCAATGTGGTACCCCGCAGCGCAAGGGTAGCGTGATACCCTAAGCCAGCGTGCGCGCTGCATGAGTAGCGTGATACTCGCTGAGCGCTTTTGCTGTTGCCTAGCAACGCGTTTCTGTCTTTCCTGGGCCCCCAACGCATGTTGGGTGGCCCTGCGCATGACTGCACGTTGTCATAGCAACCTTGGAAACCTCAAGCCGGTTACCAACAAGCTAGGAATCAGACCAAGCCGCCGAATGCCCCCGCCGGCCCCCGGCGCTTCATTGCAATTGAATTAATATTTGTCCAGAATAGTGAGCTAGGACAGATCAAGAGGCGTGGGTGGGAGGGAGAAATTGCAAAACAGTTGGATGCACGCAGCAGCACAGCTAGCAAGAGAAAGAGCCGTGGATGGGTTTGTTCCTGTTTTTGATGGCTGTGGCCATCCGTTGGCCCAGCGGTCTCGTGTGAGTACGGTGTTTGTTCGTGCTGCCAGCTCGCGCCCGGCATTTGTTTGCGCTGGCAGCTCGGGCCCGGTGCGAGAGTGAAACCGAACCGTGACAAAGGCTTTCGCTCTTTAGTGCTATTGACTGGCTTTTCATACGATGCCTATTGATGTCTAGAGACATGCTGTCTAGCCTTCCCCTAGTACGCATTCACGGGGCTTTGTTGAAGTTCGTGCCGTGAACTGCCAAAGGGAACTGTTTGAATGGTGCTGGGGCGAGTGCGACATTACGGCGTCCCTGCAGCCGGCCTAATCGCGTTTGTCGCCACAACCGATTTTAACCCGACTGCTGCATGGACGATAAGTGCTGCGAATAGTGATCATGCGCCCTGGCCTGAGTAGCTCGCTTGGCTAATTGAAAGTCTGCCGACCTGGGCCACATTATGTTGCTAAGGCATGCACAACCCCAGTCACAGCGCGCAAGTTGGTTGAGTTTGGCCGTCAGGAGGCCAGCGCAAGGTATCCGGGGCGCGGGTCTGATTCCAGCGAGGGGCAATGTGGTACCCTGCAGCGCAAGGGTAGCGTGATACCCTAAGCCAGCGTGCGCGCTGCATGAGTAGCGTGATACTCGCTGAGCGCTTTTGCTGTTGCCTAGCAACGCGTTTCTGTCTTTCCTGGGCCCCCAACGCATGTTGGGTGGCCCTGCGCATGACTGCACGTTGTCATAGCAACCTTGGAAACCTCAAGCCGGTTACCAACAAGCTAGGAATCAGACCAAGCCGCCGAATGCCCCCAAATTCCGCGTTGGTCAGCCGAATGACCTTAGTGTGGTATTCAAGCGCTTCAGCTACATGTACGTAGTTCAAATGCGTGCCCTTCGCATGTTTGTTTTCCCTTAGTGACACGGAGAAGGGTTTGGATCGCATGTAGTCGGAGCGTGCGTGCACACATGGGGTGTCCCACACCGCCATGGCATGGGGTGTCCCACACCGCCATGGCATGGGGTGTCCCACACCGCCATAGCATGGGGTGTCCCACACCGCTAGGTGGGAGCTATAGCACAGCAACAGAGTGGTGCAGATAACTTATCATAAGTATCAGAGGCGTGCGTGCACAGTCAGTGCTAGAACGTGAGTGCATACGTCCGCGAATGGGCGTACCAGCGTGTGCGCAGCGTGTGTACCTGCATGCATGCTTGTGCGGTGTCAGACTGTGGGTGCGTGTACGCGTGCATGCATGTGTGTGTGCATGCGTGGGTGTGTGTGCGTGCGTGTGTATGTGTCTGCGGGTGCGTGTATGTGGGTGTGGCTGTGCGCGCTTGCGCGCCTGCGGACGGCGAACAGTTACTTTCCACAGCGTACATAGTTCTTGTAGCAGGCACTTCGCCATCTGCCGAGTTTCATGATCTCGGATTCGGTGAAGCCGCTCATTGCTCCTGTGGTTGCGGCTCCGGCTCTGAGGCCGTGCAGTGAATACTGGATAGGTGGGTACCCTGCGCTGCTCAGGAGCTGACGGATTAGACGGGTGAGTCTTTGTGCAGTTAGGAACTTGCCACAGCTGTCAACGAAGAGTGGTCTATTGGGCAGGTTGGGGCGTCTTGATAGATAGGTATGCATGGCTTTGACCGGGCAAACCGTTGAGTTGGTGGTTGTGAGCCGGACGGAGTGACCCTTGCCGAGTTGGTCGGTCTTGGACTTCTTGATTGTGACCTGTATTGCCTGCGGCGTGATGGAGAGGTCTTCTGTTCGGAGGCCACCGTCTGACATGGTCGTGGCGGTTGTGGAAGTGTACTCACTTGCCCGGAGACACGCAAAGAAGCCCAGGCAAATAGCTGCCCATACCATGGCTCGGTCGGTCGCGTTGAGGTTAGACCGTATCAGGGCCCTGCGCATAGCTGCCATGTGGGGCAGGAGGATTGGCTTACTGGCGTTTTTAGTTCGGTTGGCCTGTGCACGTGCCACTCCTTGAACTGCGAGGTCCACTCTTCGCGACGAGAGATCTTTGCCGTTTTCTTTGGCAATTGCCCGGATCGCCGACACATACAGGCGGACGGTTGACGCGGCATGTTGACGCGCCAGGTAGGCTACAAACGCCAGCATGATGGTGTCTGTAATCACCTTGGTGCCGACTAGTTGGCAGAATTGGTGCAGTCGTTTCCAGGCTGTCGCGTATGTGGCACGTGTGGACGCTGACAGGCCTAGCCACTGGTAGGCCTGACCCTCCAACATCAGAGGGAGTAGGTGCTCTCGGGCACCGGAGATGGCGTGTCTTCTGCTGTGGGTGCCAGTCGGCGAAATCGGGCCATCTGAAACCGAGACAGAGAGTCAGCAATCGCATTGTCAGTGCCGGGGATGTGGGAGACTATGACGTGAAAGTTGTGTCGGGCAGCAATGGCAAACAAAGTGCGTACCAGCGCCATTAAGTCGGGGCACTTTGTGCGTGAGCGGAGCCAGATGTCGCATACGCTACGGTTGTCGCAGTGGAAGCGGATGCGCTTCAGATGCAGCTGCGGTGCCCATGTGGATGCTGCGGCCACGATGGCAAAGAGCTCCATCCACGCGATGGATCTCTGGGATTGGTGCCTCTGCCACCGGTGTTGGAGCCACCGGCCGGCGAAGAAAGCACCATAGCCGATGGCTCTAGATGCGTCCGTGTAGAGGTCCATATCGGCGGCGGCTGACCACGTGGGTTCTAGGAAGAAAGCGACGCCATTCCAGGCAGGGAGGAAGTCAAGCCACCACTGGATGTCTGCTTTGGCGTCTTCTGTGATTCTGATGTAATCATTTGGATGCGGGACCGTCGTGCTGAGATCAATGAGGCGGCGCAGAAACATGCGGCCCGCAGGGACCGCCTTGCAGGCAAAGCTGAGGTGACCTATCAGGGACAACAATTCAGACTTGCGGGCGGTAGGGCGGGTATGTTGCCAAGCCTTGAGGGCAATGAGAAGGTCTTCTAACTTGTCGGATGGGAGGCGGATTTCGAAGCGCTCTGTGTCCAGCATGACACCGAGGAATGTCAGGGTTGTACTAGGGCCTTCCACCTTTTTTGGATTGACCGGGAAGCCTAAGTCGTGGCAGGCTACCAGGGCACGGTCAAGCTGGTGCTGTGCGCCGATAGAGTCCGTCGCTCCACCAAGGTAGTCGTCTAAGTAGTGGATGACTGGGGCTACGTCGAAGTTGTGCGACATGACCCACTGGAGGGCGTCTGCGACTTTGTTAAACAGCGACGGTGATGAGCGAAGGCCGAAGGGTAGGCATTTGTCCACGTAATATTGCCCGCGCCAGAACAGGCATAATAGTTCCCAGTCCTCTTTCCGTACTGGACAAATGCGAAATGCGTCTTGGAGGTCGACCTTCCACAGATGGCAGCCACGGCCTAGGGACCGTGCGAGATTTACGCCGTCGTCGACCGAACAGTACTGTACAGAGAATTTGTCGACAGGGATACCATCGTTCACTGAGTGGCCCTGTGGTGCTGACAGATGCATAATCAAGCGCCATTTTTGCACCGACCGTGACTTCTTGGGAACCACACCCAAACCGGAGACCTGTGTAAGTGTGAAGGGGGGCTCTTGGTAGGGACCGGCCATGCGACCTGCGGCAATTTCACGACCGATGGCAGCATCGACAATGTCAGGGTGCTCAATCGCTGATTTGAGATTACGAGAGACTCGGAAGGTACGGGGACCAGCAAACCCAATATCGAACCCGTAAGACAAAGAATGTATTACGAATGAGGCAAAAGCCGGATCAGGATGCTGACACAAAGCGTCCTGCAGGTAAGAAACGTTAATGGGGGTTACAGGCGTGTGCAAATGGATTGGCTCGTGAGCGAGGGTGCGTGTAGGAGAGATGTGAGCAGCTGGGCAGAGTGTGTGAGTGCTATTGGCCTGGGTGAGTGTAGAGTTACCGGTGAGTGACTGGAGTGACCGAGTCTCCAAGCTGGGCAACTGCGAGCTATTGGTCGCGGCTGGCGGCGGCTGGCTTTCCTGGGCATGACTTGGCGGGGTGGCTGCCAAAGCATGTGCTGCACTGGTGGCCGTAGCGACAGGCTGCGCGTTGGCAGCGGCCTTGGTTGTAGTCGCGGCAGACAGCTGGGGCGTTTGGGTGAGCGGTAGCCCCTGACCGCTGTGCCGGAAAGGGGCGTTTGGCTGCTGGCCCGTCAGACAGTGAAGCTAGGCTACGGGCGCGGGGGCAGCGAACTGTTAAATGACCTTGCCGGTTGCAGTGACGGCAGGGAGGCAGGATGGAGTTTGTAAACCACTCCGACCAGAGTTCCGGATCTGACGTGGCAAGGCTAGATTTGCTGCGTGCAGCTCTTGCACGGAACGACATGTCGAAGCCAGACCACGCACCGAATGTATAGCGTGCGGCCGCTTTCACGATTGTGCTTTGGTACTTGAATAATTCCGGACCTCTGCCGGGGTCGTGGTGGAGGGCTACTTGGGCGAAGGCTGAGAACGCCTCCAACCACGATGTCAAGTCTACAACTTTCTTTAGACGGGATGACGACGACATGGCAGATGGCACAAGGGTGATGTGGTCCCCCGTCCCCTGCAGGGTGAACCCACTGTCCGGACCCATGCTCGTATCAAAAGCCAGCTCTCCCAGTACCCTACCAAAATCAACGTACTCACGTTTGATAATCTTGTCCGTGAGATGGTCGCTGAGGGCAGGTAATGGGATGGATGGTGGACGCTCTGGGGCGAGCAAATCGCCGTCCAGGAAGAGACTCTCCTGGTCTGGTCTTAGTGCTGAAGCCAGTGAAGGCTGGACATATTCAGGCTCAGAGTCAGGCACCACAACATCACCAGAGACTGGACCAGCCCGCTGTGCTGCTGTTGCTGCTGCTACAGTTGGCTGTGAAGGTGGAGGTACCACCGGTAGACCCATCGAAGTTGTCAATGACGTCATGCAGGACGCCACTGCATCTTGCACGACCCGAGAGATCTCGGCAGATTGCTGCGACGTGAACGCGGGCGACGAGTCAGGCTGGGTCGCGGCCGCGGGGCTTTGAGTGGCCGGGACTGCAGGACTAGCCCGCCGACGCGTGGTCTTTTTTGCGACCTGGCTCGTAGACTTAGCTTTGTTTCTTGCCTGGGCCGACAAATGCTCATGCAGACGGCTCACCTGGGCTCTAAAATTGCCTGAGCAAGAAAGCCCCAGTTCTCGCAGTCGAGTTTCAACTCCGTCGACTTTGAGTTGGCGGAGATCGGAAAGTGATGGCACGGAGCTCATGGTGACGGCTCAGGATCTCCTGCGACTGCGGAACTTTAGAAATTTCAAATCTCGCCGAGTAATTGCAACAAGGAAGAAAGAAATTGCAAAACAGTTGGATGCACGCAGCAGCACAGCTAGCAAGAGAAAGAGCCGTGGATGGGTTTGTTCCTGTTTTTGATGGCTGTGGCCATCCGTTGGCCCAGCGGTCTCGTGTGAGTACGGTGTTTGTTCGTGCTGCCAGCTCGCGCCCGGCATTTGTTTGCGCTGGCAGCTCGGGCCCGGTGCGCGAGTGAAACCGAACCGTGACAAAGGCTTTCGCTCTTTAGTGCTATTGACTGGCTTTTCATACGATGCCTATTGATGTCTAGAGACATGCTGTCTAGCCTTCCCCTAGTACGCATTCACGGGGCTTTGTTGAAGTTCGTGCCGTGAACTGCCAAAGGGAACTGTTTGAATGGTGCTGGGGCGAGTGCGACATTACGGCGTCCCTGCAGCCGGCCTAATCGCGTTTGTCGCCACAACCGATTTTAAGTCAATCTATTTTTCGTTGAAGGTGGTGGGTGGGTGGGGGAGAGTCATAACTAAACTTTTTCGTTCCATGAAAATTATCGATAATGCCGGATGGCCCCTTATGAGGCATGGCTTTTTTCTCCTGCTGAGCTACATATACTCCACGACAATTATGGTTTGTGCCGGAGTACAGCAAAGGAAGTTGAAAAGGCAACACAAAAACACCCTTACCTTGACACGGCTGACAGCCTCATACGCCAAAGTTACTCGCATGTTCTTTGACAGTGATCCATCAACAACTAGTTGCGTAGAACCCATATACTAGAATCAAACAAGACAAAGCAAGACAAAACAAGAGAAGAGTTGGCACCCAGCATGTAGCACAACAGCCACACAGAGTCAAAATACAGGACTGTCTCTATTCTTAACTCCCTTAGCCCTAGCGAAAAGTTGCTCGTTTATGCTGGTGACACAACAAGCTCAAGGCGAGAGCACCTGCAGCGATGCCACCCGGGGAAGAAGGTCAATACATGTACATGAACCATAAGGACAAAATGTAGGGCTGAAACGATATGATCGATGAACCGTTTGTTGATCACTAAGGAAGTTATCGATTATCATTAGCTATTACTAAAGATACCTACTGCACTGCACGTTATGTACATGCATGTGTATAAGGTGCTAGAATGCAAGTAAGGGTACTGTTAGTGCTGTATGCAGTGTACCGGGTTAGGATCCCTGCACTGTTCACTGGCGTGACGCACGTCCAGTACAGCTGTACTACATCTTAAACTGGTAGTGGACAGCTAGTGGGTACACTGGCCCAGTGCGCGGACTGCTGTCCCGGTCCAGCCATGCTCGGCTATGACTGCCGAATGCTGGCTTGAAATATCGTTATATCGATCGCTAAAAGTGTTTTTGTTGAGCAGTTTTTGCATATCGTTTCGGTCCTTGCAAAATGTGTACATAATTTTGGCTGACTGAGTGGAATTTGCACATACGATTCAGCCCTACTCCTGACTTGGATAGAAACTAAATGAAAACTAGACTTGTGCAACAATACACTCGACAGCGCCCAGAATACATACGTTAACTGGGAATGTCTTCCCTTGCTCAATTGGCAAGTTGTCCGCATCAGCCTCCTGAAATTAGAAAACAGTGCAAACAGCGTATAGAGTTGGATACACAAGGCCATGTGTTCTCAGTTTGAAGCACAATATGACTTTCGCAAGGAAGCGAGTGAGAAAGATGGCAACCTACATGAAACATGGACTGAGAGAGAGACAAACCAGCGGACAAAATGGACAGATGGACACCCCATCCCAGCCGCCTACACACACTAACACGCCCCCGTGTACACTCCATCACCAGCACACTGATATGTAATGCAGGTAGACACCCATTAATTCGAGCCTCAAATTTCCAGCCTACAACTTTTAGCAATCCAGAACTTGTCAAAAATTCGCCCATGTACTGATACGGATGAGTGTCAAAACGCTCAAACTGCATGTTTTAAACATTTTATTCACATCTGCAAAACATAGTTGGTCGTACAACGGACTCAGCCAAACATGTTAATTTTAATAATGGAGAGGTTTTCCTTCACTTGAAACGTAGAAAAATCGCGTAAAGAACAGGCGTCTGGGTTAGAGTCTACGGCTTCGTGTGTTTTGGTCCAGATTTCTAAGCGGAGATGAGTTTCTCTACGTTTATTACGGCACACACAAAAAAATGTGTACAGGCCTGGTGCGCATCATTCAAATGAGGGAGGAAACTGCCAAATTTGGAACGGGAAGTTCCAAACACACATTCCACGTGGTTTCTTTGCATGAAGGTAGCGCAGAAGAGGTTCATAAGAGGATATGCAACACAAGTCACATAGCACGTTTGCCACTCAAAGTTCTTCTATATACGGGGTTTCTGTATGCACTTTTAAAATACCATAAATGGGCATTTTGCCACTCAGCTATGTCCCATTTAAGGCAGATTTGACGTCATTGCATATCCTCGTTACAGGAACGCGAAGAGTGATCAAGGATTCTTCGCATTCCATTCCCGTAACGTACAGCAGAACATCTCTAATTTCATCAAAGCACTGGACACAAAGTCATTTGACACTATCTTTATGTTATGGTGAAGAAGTTGGGAGTCAATGCTGCTGTCCTGAAACGCTTTCGACGAGAAAGAAAAGCGCCGCAATCTGCATTATGAAAGTCTGTCCGAGAGCGGCACTTTGTTGTGAAAAATGCAAGTGGAGCATAGACCAAAACAAAGTTGTTGACTTCCAGTCAACAGGGTTATTGTTCACACACATCTCCGCACATGAACTGGCACGAAACGTTATTGAGATCCGCAAAGGGGGTAAGCTACCTAGAAAAAGCCGGCATAAATCAAATCTTTGCACATTGCCTCGCACACGCTTGAATCTAATTTCGAGACAAGGTGAGTTTCCTGGACGTTATTGTCGATCTTGGGATGGACCAGAGGCCGATCATTGAGCTACTCTTGGCTGGAGAAGGAAAAAATGAACTTCGAATTGCAGGTATGGCAACTCCATCTCCACTTCGAAATAAGCACTCAAAGGAAAAAGTCACAGTTCCGTAAACTGCATCGTACGACGAAAAGCTTCGAATTTAGCGGACTATTGGAATTATACCGTATTTGAATAAGAGGGATTCTAACTGTAGCAACAACACACCATCTATATGCATAGACATACAGTTTCATCCACAGACTCCGGTGATGCAGACGTGGGCTCTATAGTGGTAGGATTACGCAGCGCACTTGGAAGCCCGACGTGTTTCTTGCCACCAACTGCACAAACGACAATGGAGAGGAATCAATCAGACGACCGAGAACCTCGTCAAACTGTGAACGGCGATAAACCGTGAAAGATATTCGCACGACTCACTAATAAACTAACGCTACTTGTGCAGCTCTCACCGCGACACTGAGAAGGGATTCTCCCTTATTCCCATCCTGAGCACCTTTTTTACTGCCGGAATGCTGTTTCTGCCGCTGCTGCTGCTGCTGCTGCTGCGGCAGTGACACTTTTCCGCCGGTAAAGTGCCAGTAACGTCACGTGGCCAAATCACCTTAGAAGCTTTCCCATTCCGTCACTTTTTATCGGTAGTCTGAACGCGCCCTTAGCTGTGAGAATTTGCAGATGACTCAAAATGAATGGAACAATACAGCATCTAGCGATGTGTATGAAGAGTTTACGCTAGACATAAATGGATTTTTTTGCTTTTGCGACATTTGGATTTGCTGATTATCCCCCAGAAACTCACAAATACTAGCCACTGATCATTGCCCTAAGATGGAACATGCAGAAACGGTGAATGTAGCAGAAGCTGTGCAGTGTTCAGATAACTAATACCAACTGTACATAACCCCGAAGAGTGTGCAACTCCAGCTATGGGGTCTGCGATGGCAGAACTTCACATCACATGACGAGCCCACACCCTGTGCAAGTGTGCATGATAGATACAGGCTTTGGGTTCAAATCTCCTGGGGTCACTTTGCATGGTTTGCCAGTGTAACCTTTTTGAACCACGTCACATGATGTGAAGTTCTGCCGTAGCAGCACCGTATAGAGGCTGTGCAGGCAGTTGCACACTCTTGGAGGTTATGTACTCTTGCTAATACAGGTGTGTTTACATGAGGCATTTTAACTAGGGGTCAAAGGGGTGTTCCGGGCACCCGGGTACCCGCCCGTTAATCTCTGGTACCGTTAGTAAAAGGGTACTACTTTGGATTTCGATGATCCAGTCAGCACGGAACAACACCGCAGGGATCGCGCATTCCCGGTGGGAGTCAATTATTTACAACTCTACCCTGGATGTCTGCATTGTTGTTGCATTTTCGCACCTACAGTAGTAGGTCTACCTCTGCAACTATCAGACACAAATCAATTTGCGAATCACAATGTGGTATCAAAATGCAACATGAGACCAGATGAATTAAAATAATGATTTACATGTATGTAAAAATGCGTAAAAATTAAACATGGCTGCTAAAGGGTACCCGTTAACCCGCCCGGTAAGAAAATTACCCGTTTGTTAGTTAAAGGTACACCCGTTTGACCCCTAATTTTAACCCTGGTCAAGTTTCAACCCGCCATGAACACAGATTGACTGGCGCGTTTACACGACGCATTGCGCTCGACCCGGGTTGAAATCGAGAAATCGTACTACCGTACTTCCGTGCGTATCTTGTGCCAGGTTTGAACAGCACTGCACAGGCAAATTTCGCGCGAAAGCATTCACGTGACCTTACAGGACTCTAGAAGTGGACTTTTGGCGGCATATCAGTGACTGACGCTAAACTCGACCCGGGTTGAAAATTCTCAATTTGCCTATGGCATCAGGCAAGTGCCACATTAGGCAATTGGGCATTGTTTCTGGACACCTACATTTACCAGTATCATGGTGCATACTCTGCACTACAATAGCTTTACCTGAAACGCGTCTGCTACCCTCAACATCTGCAGCAGCAGCACTGGCCGTATTCTCTGAGGCTTTAGCGGACTGATCCGAATCAGCGGGCTGACGTGGACCTGCAGCAACTTCTTGTGGAGCAACATTCCCTGATACATGTTCATCTTCAACAGTATTGCCAGCCGTGGATCCTGCTTCTGCTGCTGCTTCTGTGCGATCACTGCCGCTGCTGGATCGGCGTTGAGCTGATGCAGCAGCGCTGTCCTCGGGAGATTGGGCGACTGCTGCTGCTGCTGCTGCTGCTGGCTCTGGCGTTTCAGCTGTTGCTGGCTCTGGCGTTTCAGCTGTTGCTGGCTCTGGCGTTTCAGCTGTTGCTGGCTCTGGCGATTCAGCTGTTGCTGGCTCTGAGGCTTCAGCTGCTGCTGGCTCTGAGGCTTCAGGTGGTGATACTGCTTGCGGTGCTGATGCATCCTTCACAGCATCTACATCGTGTTCCTCAAGCACGGCCACTGGCTGCTCTCGGCACTCATTGTCTTCAGTTACTGAGTCAGCCAAGTCAGCCTCGCTGCTGTTCTCCTTGGAAATCGGTTCAGGGTCATCATGCACGGATTTTACACTTGCCATGGGCTCAGCCGCTGCAGATTCTGTATCCAACACGAATAACCAATCAATTGTGGGGAAAAATTCTCAATCCATTGTGAATTTCGGATGTATACGAAATCAAGCAAGACCAAAACACTGCTACCAAATTACTAGTAATCAATGGCCAATAATCCCATTCAAATAGCCCATTGCACTGTGAAAATTATGGGGCTCGCTTCTTAAAATACTAGTAATTGGTGAGTGACTATTTCGATGAATACAGAATGATAAACAAAATGACCAACCTTCATTGTCCGCGGGATCGAGTTTCCGCACGTTTTCCCCTTCGGACTCCATTTGACCGAGCTAGAACAACGAGCTACAAAGAAACTATAAAACTCTGTCCATGGCTAGCCTACAGGAAAAACAAGACCAATTATTTCGCCAAATCAATCAACCCTGATTCCCCTGAAAGAAGAGTTTTGTAGTGCAGTGTGCATGTGGCATGAGCTGCACAGCATGCATGGGCATGAGTCAGACCACTACGAGTACTGCACTGTAAACATGCAACGACTTTTTTTTTTTTTTTTTTGCTGTTGCATTCTCGATCCTCAGACCTCAGGCTCGGATATCCGGATCTCGCCTTCTCGGATCGTTCGGATGCGACATGTACAGACTGTCAGTGCATGCAGTGCGGTCCGGTACAGCATACGTCATCATGTCTGGTCTGATGTCATGTACATTTTTGTCTAGAGCTAGAGGTAGGGATTTCAGTCACGTGATCTGCGGGGGCAAAAGTACCTTGAGAGTTGAGGCTTGACACGCATGCATGCTTTTTGAATGCCAGGCATGGCACAGCTCAGCGCGGGGTCTTCGGCGTAGATTTTAGGTAGGGAAAGTGAGTTTATCGCTATTTTTATTGGCGCACCGTTGAAGAGTAGGTTTCAAGCTTTCGTTTGGTGCCTCACACGGCGAATTCGTGCCGATATTACGCATCTCGATAGATTCTTGTAGATTTCAAAGTCGCTTTTGAGGTGTTTGCCTTGGTTCCACGCTCAAGCGGCAGTCAGAATCAGATTTTACGGCATCGATTTAGTCTAGGTAGGTTCCTTCAGACGGCATGAAGGGTCGCGCTCGGTCGCGGAAATTGTTTTGAAGTTGAACGCCATGACACAGTATGGAGGTGGAGAAGAAAGACGATTAACTTCCGTCTTCCTCTGTGTTCATGGTGTTGTCCCAGGCAGTTGAGGAATGGCCTAGTAGTAGTTGAACTCTCGTTGAGGGCGAGAAGCAAAAATGATACCAAGTAGAGTTAGCATAATTTGATTTTGCTAGTTGCAGTCGTGGATGGAAAGGATTTCGAGACGATGTGAAAATTGCCAGGAACAAAATCGGGCGTATCAGAGAGTGGAGAAAAAATTTGCTGAAGAACAAGGCAAGTGACGACCTCAGTGAATTACTAAGTCATCCTTTTGAACTGCCTCTCAATCAAATTGTAAAGCAGATAACCACACACTGAACGAAAAATCGTATATTGTGTCTGATTCTTGTCCAAGAAAGAAACATTGAACTGCAAGGAAAATTGTAGGCTGCAGGGATTGCAAATTGCATGAATTGTATAAGTTTGGAAAATTATATCAGTGTTATCAAATTTCCACACCTGAGCAGTCGTACGTGCTGAGGTGTGGACATTTGCAACAGTTCATGTCCATGCTGGACCAGCCGTTGATGTCAGTGCTGAAGCAACAGTTGATGTTGATGCCGGCGCAGCAAATGATGGCGCTTTGGAGCCCGCACCCGGCATAGCAGGTCTTGACCCTGTGTGTGGCACCAGACTTGATCTTCCATGTGTCATACAGGTGCGTGGTTGTTCCAGGCTGTTTTTTACTGAACTTATCTCTTATAAATACTCGCCGCTGGCTGGCTTCTGTGTACAATACTCAATAGCCTCTAGTACAGTCGTTGTGCGGCTAATGTGCGTCTCTGACTCGTTGCAGCCGAAAACGGGCACTGTGTGACATCAGAGCTTGCTGTCTGCTCCTCTAGTTTCCCACATGCATACTATATAACTTAAATGTTGCGTTTGCCGTATTTCTGTCATATTCCACCTATTACCATGTTGAATTATGCGTGAAATATACTGTTGCTAGGGCCGTTGCTAAGGACGTCATTGTTGCGGTCATTTGGAATTTTGAAAAAAAACTTTTATCTTCTGTTCCGTCACAGCCAGGGCCATCCTTGATCCAAGTTTGGCCACGATCGGATGAAGTTTATTTGTTGCTATGGTGTTGCTAGGGAGTATGGGAATTCCATTTTGTGCCATCCTGCAGATCCAATTTGTATGTGTGTTCATCAAGGTTGGTGCGCTATGTTTGAATGCTCATAACTTTGGAAATACTGCTTGGATTCCGTTCAAATTTTCTGTAGACAGTCCTTACACATAGATGCTTCAGAAAAACTTGTTAGTTGGAGCAAAGCGCTGCTCAGAAAAAAACCGCCTGAAATCCCTACTAGAGGTCTAGTCATGTACTTGTCATGATTCTTTTCTATTTTATTCTTTTTACCAGGCGTGGGCCATCCCCTGGATTATCAAAATGGGTGCCTTATTATTTTCTTCTCTTTTTTTTCTTTTTCTGTTTCTTCTTTTTACCAGGCGTGGGCCATCCCCTGGACTATCAAAATGGGTGCCTTATTATTTTTTCTGATTTTCAAAATATAATACACAGCAGGTCAAAAAAAAATGTCATGTACATGTAGATCGCGGTACATGTACTACAAGTAGTACTTATTACGAGTCGTAGATCTACTGGTACAAATCAGGGACCGACAGGGAGTCGTAAAATACGGTGTTTTACGACTCCCTGCTACATGTCGCATCCGAACGATCCGAGAAGGCGAGATCCGGATATCCGAGCCTGACGATCGAGAATGCAACAGCAGTACTAGGATATAGCCTAGGATGTCCAGATTCTGTTTTCAATTTTTTTTGCATTTTGGGGTAAATCTACCCCACTTTTGCATTTTCGAATTTTGCCTGTTTCTGCACGGTTTCGACCCAGAAAAGGGGCTTTTTTCGCTCTATGTCACGAAGTAAGAAACTTCGCAAGAACTTTCGCAACTTTGACCGCGAAACTTGCAGGGAACGCGAAATGAAAATGTGAAAACTTTCGCTCTACGTCACGAAGTGAGAAACTTCGCACGAACTTTCGCAACTTTGCCTTTGCCTTTGGCCACGAAACTTGCAGGGATCTAGGGAACGCGAAATGAAGCTTTGTTGTCATAGTAACGAACGCATTTTTTCCGCGGTTTGGCTAAAAAATGAACAAAATCCATGCATTATGACGTATGTGTATGAAATGAACCAGTTACCCCTATAACAATATTACCCTTATAACAATATTTCTTGGTGTGACGCAAATATCGTTATAAGGGTAGGTCGATTGTACTACGTATTCGAAGTGCTGAGACACTTTCCGCTTTCAAGAAGGTATTGCTTTGTTCTGCTTTCAGTCAATATTTTCTTCAGACTTTTCCCGTTTGCGTCTTTCCCTCAAACCAGTGAATATTTATTATTTATTCAACTTAATTTCTGCACCTCATTTTTTTTCTACAAAATCCGCATATCTCCAGACACTGGGGTGAATGATGGAGTGTGGTGGTGGGGCCCATGCTCCGCCGACCAGAGGTTTCGGCTTCATAGCTCCATGGACGCACCAAAGGGATATTGGGTAGGGAGGATTAAATTGAAAAAGAAAACAGAAGAAAGAAAATGGAAAGATTGTATTGCTCAGTGAGCAAAAGAATAAGTTGAGTATTGATGTGAACGCTGTTAGACTTTTAAATTCAAGAGGAGATTGTCTGTGAGGCGAGATTACATGTATGTCCAAGCAGGGTAGGACATACGTATGCTATGAGTGGCCCAGTGCCAGTTCGTTCTGAGGAGATGGTGATAAGCTGCTGTCTTGAACTTTTGGATGTTCTTTGGGTGAAATGGGTGGGGAATGATAGAGGTAGGCAGCTGGTTCCAAATTGGGATGATGGAGTGGGGAAAGGCTCGGCTCACATTGTTCCGGGAATTGGCAGGAAGAACATTCTGCAACTGATGGGGATGCGCGGTGGACAGTCGTACAGCCTGGCGGGTGAGGCGTGTGGTCCTGGGTTGGTGTGTCGGGGGTGGAGCCATTCTCGAGAGAAGAGCGGGAGAATTATCGCAAAGGGCTTTATACAGGAGGCAGAGGGCAGCGATGGTGCGGCGAATTATGAGGCTAGGAAGCCAGCATTGCGGATGTATTGCCTTGATGGCTCGCTCCTGCACCCAGTCCAGCCGATTCAAGTGGGAAGGAGCTGCCCCTATCCAGACGATTGGGCAGTACTCCATAACCGGCCGGACAAAGGCTTTGTAGGCTCGAAGCCGGGCAGGAATAGTCAGCAAGTGAAATGCCTTGCGCAAGGCTCCAAGTCTCTGCGTTGCTCGGACTACAACAGTTCGGATATGCTGGCTGAATTTTAGCTGATGGTCAAACGTGACGCCGAGTACTTTGATGGAGGGCTGCTCCTCGACAGGAGTTCCATTGAAGACAATGGGGGGGGGGGGGGGGTATTGGCCAGTCCCGACGATGGTGGGAAATTGTAAGGGCCTGAGATTTGGCTGGCTCGAACTGCACTTTCCAATCCGAGCCCCAACTGGATACTAGGTCGACAGCAGCCTGGAGTACTCTAGCGTTGTCAGGAACAGCAGCGAGCGTTGCAATTTCGGCGTATAGGGTTGTGTCGTCGGCGAATGAGGCAAGGTTGGAGCCGATTGGGAGGTGGTCTTCCAGGTCGTTGACGTAGACCAAGAATAAGGTGGGGCCCAGGATACTGCCCTGTGGCACCCCAGCCTTAACTGGGCGTCTGGCTGATGTCTGGCCGGAGATGAGGACTTGAAGCATGCGGTTGCAGAGGTAGTCTTGGAGCCACCGATGCAGGTCTCCCGAGATTCCATACACTCTAGCCTTGTGCAACACACCAGTGTGAGACACCCGGTCAAATGCTCCAGCAATGTCGATGGCCAGCACTCGAGAAGCTCCTTTATCTCCGGCGGTGTTCACCCACTGGTGGTGGAGAGCAGTCAGCAGGTCTGCTGCACTGTGGCCGCGACGGAAGCCAAATTGCCGTTCTGACAGGACATGATTCGTCTCCATGAAGTTGCTCATTGCCCTGTTGACTATGGTTTCCATGACCTTGGAGAGGATGCTCAGTAACGACACTGGTCGATTGTTTGATGGCGACGATTTAGACTTGCGCTTGTGGACTGGAACTACGTTTGCAACCTTCCACTGTTGTGGCTGGATGCCGGAGCGAAGACAGCATGTAAATAGTTTTGAAAGCGGCCGTGCCAATTCTTCAGAGCAAGCTTTCAAGACGCGGGCAGGTATCCCATCTGGACCAGTGGCCTTGGTGGGGTTGAGCTGGCGGAGAGTTTGCTCGACTGTGGTCTCGCGAAACCGGACGGTGCAGAGGTT